TTTGACTGTTTGAGGATTTTGACATAGTCATTGTGATTTCTTGAAAGAATTTTGTTGAGAAAGATGATGATTTAGGAGAATGGGGGAAATTGTGTGAAGTATTGAGTTTGAATGAAGAGTGTGGGAGCAGTGGAGGGTTTCTTTTAAAGAAGGAAATGTGGTGATGGAGAGAGTGAGGACATTGTAACCATCCCTTTTTTGAGCTCCTTCAGAAAATCTTTCTTTTGAAGTGGGGATTTTCTAATTTAAATAATGGCATCTATTATTTGTCCTTGTAATAGTTAATGTGAGTTTTGGTGTTAGTAACATAATATTCATTTTAAAATTATTTTTTTACTTAAATAAACTTACTTGTGAGTAAAAATTTTTAAGGTTAGTCTTATTTTCAATATTATTTAATTAAAAATTAATAAACCTCGTTTTTACGATTGCTGATTGTCGACAGTCAATGGTCATCATTCGCTCGAGCTGAACTTTTGGGCTGGGTCCACCCTAAACCATAGGATTTCAACGGAGTAAGTTTGATCATTGCCTATATTTCCAACATGATGATGTTAATAATGACTCTGTATTTTTATTGTTATACGTTGATGATATGCTTTTAGTTGATTCATCACCTAAGTGGATAAGTAAGATAAAAACAAATTTGAATGATGAATTTGACATGAAAGATTTAGGTAAAGTTAAAAGAATTCTAGGTATGAAAATTGAAAGAGATGGGTTAAATTCTACTTTATTTTTGCATCAATTCTCTTATGTTTCAAATGTGTTGAGAAAATTTTGCATGTATGATTGCAAACCTATTACATTACTTTTAACTAATTATTTTGTATTATCTAAAAATCAGGCTCATTGTAATGAAAAAGAAATAGAATACATGAGTAGGATTCCATACTCTAGTGTGATTGGATCTATTATGTATTTGATGGTTTGTACTAAATCAGATTTAGTTTTTACTGTTAGTACTCTTAATTGATACATGTCTAATTCGGGTTCCGACCATTGGAAAGCCTTAAAATAGATGTTAAGGTATTTAAAGAGGACTAATGATGTATGTCTAAAGTTTGGTGTTAATAAAGAAGGCGTGAAGTTGAAGGGTTTTGCAAAAGCGAACTATGGGGAGGGATATAGATAATAGAAAATCTACATCTTCTCATGTGTTTACTTTGTCCAACTCTTGTGTTAGTTGGAAATCACAGTTACAACACATAGTTGCACTGTCAACGACAGAATCTAAATATATTGCCACCACTGAAGCAATTAAAGAGGCTTGTGGCTTAGAGACCCGCTTCATGAACTTTGTGTTTTAAATGACTATGTAGTAATATATTCTGATAGTCAATCTTCAATACATTTATGCAAGAATTCTATTTTTCACAAACGCACCAAATACATTGATGTTAGACCTTATTTCATTAAAAATATTATGTTACAGAAGTGGTAAAACTTGAAAAAGTTCATACACAATATAATCCCCAGACATTGGCACTAAGGTGCTACCAGTGGTGAAGTTTAAAAGTTGTAAAGATCTTCTAAACATCGGTAGAAGTAAATAATTTCTAATTTTATCGATTCTCCTCTTTTGAATTATTAATAATGGGTGATAATGTTTTCTTTGCAGGTCCTTTGACTCCAAGGTGGAGCCGTGGAGGTTTGTTGGACAAATTGTTGTCAAACAACATTTTGGGTTATAATGTTAAATAATTAATTATTCAGTTGGTATCGACCAAATGACTAAAGTGAAATATCGACACCTCAAATGGAATGATCTAAGCCTATAACTATTTTGAGTAATTGGAAGTAGTCTAATTAGAACTGCTCATTGCCCAACCTTTCACTCCTTGGATGGCTTTTGGTGTTTGGCCCACTTATTGATTATCTATTGTTCCCCTTTTGGGCTTAATCCATTACTTAACCCAGAAGTCTAATATGCTGCTATATATTGGCAGCCCCTTTGTATTGAAAGACACACGTTATTGCCCTAGCCCCTTTTAGGAGAAAATCGGCTTTATGCTTCCTATAGTAGTGTTTTTCCTTGTTTTTCTTAGCCTTTGTGGCTGCAGTAACATCTCATTTTGTATCCTTTGTGGGCAATACAAAAGCAATCGGAGTTAGGTGAAGGTTGTTGGATATTGGGTTGTGATTTGGTGGTGTCGATCTTGGTGGTTTTTTTGATAAATGGAACCCGAAAAACCTTAGGTGGTCATTCTTCCGCTTAACAGTACCATTCAACAATAGAATTAGAGAAGCAGTAAAATGTTGTTCTAAAATAGTATTGGTGATCACTTTATGTGACAAACCAATCAATACGTCTCTATGCTTCAAAAAAAAAAAAACTTTGCCACAAGTGGTTTAAACAATATGAAAAATTTAAGCAAAATGTATTAGGGATTTTGCTAGTAATATTAACAAAATGAAATATATGGATCACATAATCACTTGTAGAAATTTAGTCTCTAATTTTTACGAATTTAATATAAGCCAATGATTTTGACAAAATTTTCTATAGCAATATGCCTTTATTCATGCTCTAATTTCTTAATCTGAAATGTCATTTGAATAGCTTTAGTTGATGAATCACAAGTGCAAAGGGTACAAAAACACCCACTTTTTGTACCAAATTAGAGCATGATCTGTTGAGATACAGATGATCTGGCTCTAATTTCCGGCTCCGGCTCCTACAACATGATCTGTTGAGATACATAGATGTCCAAGTTTGGTCAATTTTTTGACTGGTTTGTCTTGGAGGTTAAAAGGGAAGGCCTAACAAACAATTTATATCCTTTTATATTGGGTTAAGGGTGGGAATCATGCCAAGTAGCTCATCGACTCGGTTCATCTCGACCCCCAAGCCACTTGTTTGGAAAAATTATAATCATCAAGCATTAATTTTAACAACACATTATTTAGAATCCATAACTAATACTGCTACTTTTTCCAGCATAATCTCATTACAATTTCTCTCAAACAAACACTTAACCAACAATATTAATGTTTATTACCCTTCACTCCAAACACTTAGCAATTGAATAGTTTCTTTATTATGCTTCACTCACCAAGGCTTTTTATAATTTAATTTAATAACAAAGGTTAAAACTTTGTAGCAGAAATTAGTAATTACATACAAAAATTAAGTATATTTTATAAATTCGTAAAATTACATTTAAACTTTCTTTATTCCCTTTTGCAGGATTGTGATCCTAGCTACACGTACACTCACAAGGAAAGGTACAATACAAAATAAACTCAATGACAAGTGTCGTTTGACACATAAAGTTGGATATAAATATTGGACAATAAATAAGATTTTAGATT